GATTTTTTTTATTAATAGATGATGACAGATCTTGTGACGTTCATTAATTTTTATTAAATTAGATTTCTTTCGGCCGGTCTCCTTCCTCATATATACATATACAATGTATGTACTTGGAATAAATAATTTCTACATGTATATGTGCACGGGATATGTGTGACATATGTATTTTATATAGGATAGATTATTTAATCACAGTCCAGTGCACATTCTGTCTCAATGCAACTAGCAATTTCAGCAAGTTTAAAACGTAAAAAAAATATTAAATTAATTTATATAAAATATAAATTAAAGGAAATTCGTAAAAACTTGTAGGAGAAAGCGTTAGCTTTTAATTAATTATAACAATAATTTTTCATTTTTTCCCCTCTAAATTATGACTAGTAATTTTTTTTCGTAAAATTTGAATTTTTAAATACAAGATATTAAAGCCGATTTTGGATACATCGCAGACTTCTAGCAAAAGATATTGAATCCAAATATTTTTTTTTTTTTTTTTTTTTTATTTTTTTTTTTTTATTTTTACATTTTCTTCCGTAAAAATAATCAATATTTGTTATGAATTTCATAATTTATTTGTTAAAATAATGAATATATTTATAGCGTTTCGTGAATTTCTTGCATTTGGGTGTAAAACTTAGCTAGTCTACGGAATTTTTGAGCCACTAACAAATTAAAAATTTCCGTAATTAAACGACTCAAAATTCAAATTAAACGATTCGATGGAATTTCGGCATTTTTATAATAATTACACAAAAAATCGCCTAATTTACATCATAGAGTGGAATTAATCTTAAAATAATTATAGTCTGAATTTCATGACGATCAATTTTATGACAAAAAAAAAACCCCGTATCTTTTACAAAGCATCATTACTTCAAATGTTTTATCACGATAAATTTAAAATGTTTTATCATTTCGAATTGCGGCTTTGTAAGTAATTTAAATTATCATACTACAGTATATCAAAAAGGAAACTTTTCGTCTTGTCAAAAAAGTTTCGCATTTTGAAACAATCCTATCAGGTTTTGCGTTTATCCTATCGTGAAGATCGTTTATCAGGTCTATCGTGTTTTGCGTTTATCGTATTTTGCGTTTATCGTGTTTTGCGTTTATCCTATCGTGCGTGTATCCTATCGTATCGTGCGTGTATCCTATCGTATCGTGCGTTTATCCTATCGTATCGTGCGTTTTTGCCATTTTGAAATATTGAAAAAGTTTGGAAAAATTTACTTCCGGTCGGGAATTATTATGATTTTTCACTTTTTCCACTAAAAATCTAGTCCATGAATGTTCTCAGAAACTGTTAAAGATAGGAGTCTGAAACTTTCAGGTATGGTTTGTAGATGTGTGATGGAAACATTTCGTGTGTCGTCGTCACTTCCGGTCGTCACAGGAAGTGATTTAAAAAGGGTAATTTTTTTTTAACTTTTTTGTTTTTCATTATTTTTTTATGATGTTGATAGGCTAGATAAAGAGTCTTACAAAAATGCTAAGTATGTAGTTTGTTTAAAAATTGATTAACCCATACTCCAAATATTTATCATTTTTCAATTTTAAGCCACGATGTTTGATAGCGTAATGGTTACCATGTTGAATTTTCACGTGGGCGATCCGGATTCAATCCAAAGAATGTCCGAATTTTTTCTCACTTTTTGGGGCTCAAATACAAGATTTTATCTTTAAGGGGGGGGGGGGGGGGGACTACGTCGTTCGACGTCAGAGCAGCGGTGTTTGACGGCACAATGTCAGCGTGTCTTTTTACTCCCTCATAAGGAGTTTGCAGTTGAATTTTGCCCTAATTACTGTGCATAGATGCAATTGTGATATGACAAAACGAGGAAAACATGTTAATACACAATTGTATATGTAGCTAGATACCTATGCAATTGTATCATAAATTGGAGAGTTGCCGAAGTATTTTGAAAGTAGAATTTGTTACTTTCTCATGGTGATTGAATAACATATAGCAATTTCAAATGAGAGAAAAATAAACTGCAATGATATTTTTCTTTGATTTTAGTAGGGCAATATTCCTTTATAGATGCAAGTTACTGAACATAATAGGTATCAGATTCCTTGAGCGTCATATGGCGAGATGTGTTTTGTTGCGAAACAATCCAGTCTTTTCATTAATGTGTTACTAATTGGAATAATCCACTTTGGGGGTAAAGAGGAATATAAAATGTGTAAGAAAACTTAGCGCTGCATTTGTTTTACTTGTCCGTATACAGTATGTTATATGTACAGTGTGATAAATATATATTCTTAGGCTAGAAAATCAGGCTATAGCAACATATTTTTTTTTAAATGTCATTGAAGCTATCACGTACACTTATTAGTCCCCTACCGGTGAAACCGGAGGGGACTATAGGTTTCCTCTGAGTCTGTCCGTCCGTCTGTCTAGCTGTCTGTCTGTCTGTCCCTCTGTCTGTCTGTCAGTCTGTCCCACTTGGTTTTCCGCACTTTTTTTTCTAAACGCTTGCAGATATTGAGCTGATTTTTGGTATGTGAGTGTACCTTGAGGAGTTACAGATCAAGTTTGCATTTCGTTCCGCTTCATTGATTTTTGACGGAAATACGGCTTTTTCAATTTTTAGGGGTTTTCCGCAATTTTCTTCTAATCGCTTTCAGATATTGAGCTGATTTTTGGTATGTGACTTCATCTTGATTACTTATAGATCAAGTTTGCATTTCGTCCCGCGTCATTGATTTTTGACTGTATTATGGCATTTTCAATTCTTAACGGGAACCAGATTACACTTGCCGGTAGGGGACTAGTATTGCTAATGCAATACTCTCAGAATTCTTGTTCAATTGAAGACACATTCCAAAGAAAAGGCGAGAAGATTTACTCGTGACGTTTGGCGCGAAATAATTATCTTGACTCGCCTTTCACAAATGGTCTGATGCAGTAGTGTAGAAGTACAGAAAAAGATTACACGGACGTGTCTGAATTTGGAATTGCATAGAATAGAAAGTTGAATGCATAAAGAATAAAGGAAGTAAACACAATAGTTTTTTTTTAGTTTTTATCAGTAACAGATTATTTTCTCTGCTATCAGTTATTTGTTAAAACTCAAGTAACAAATCCGATGTAAATCTACTAGTACTTGCACAAAATTTAGCTGGCTAGTTTTCATCCTATAATTCCACACTATAAGAAAAAAAGATTAACCTGCCTGACACTCGTTACTTCAGGGAATGAGTGCAAGGTAAACATCGGTGATGGCTGGTACATTGCGCTAGTGTAGTGGTTTCAATATTAAAGAACAAGGTTCATTTAGGGCCTTTTTGGCCCTGTGAATTTCAGAAAAACTGAAACTGCTTGGTTTTAGTTGACAATGCATTAAATATCATTTAGACCTTTAATGACGGCGTATCTATCAAAAATGACGTAATTTTCTGGCTAGCCAATGCATTATGACGTCATGAAATGCGTCATTTTCCTCATATCGTGAAAAATTCTACAAAACAGCCAATTTTTAAAGCTATTTTTCGATATTTAATATAGAGCGTAACCTCTGATCTTAAATATGCAACTATAAAATGATAGAACTATTTCTGAGGATTACAAAACCTGTTTTATTTTCTAAGATCAGAGGGTATGCTCATATTATTTCTCTTCTGTGAAAGTACTCAAATATACTTATTTTCATTAAAATTCAAGAACATTGCAATTTCATGAGCCCTGTTTTCCAAGACCTTGGCTATAAGGAGAAAATTTTTAATAGGAAATGAAAACACTAAGTCTCTACTTTATCTTGTTGTTTAAAATGGAACATAAAGTGTTAGTCAATAAATTTGTATATCTACAGGGCCATTTTATGCATAAAGTGAACCTAGCTCTTTTCGGGCAGCTGATCTTGGTTTAATCCCGACTATATCTGAATTTTTTGCTTAAATTTACATTTTCATTTTTATCAATGATGTTGAACTTTGTTTTTCTCTTTGTGAACTCTGTGCTCTTTTTACTTTTTTTTTTTATCAATAAAAATCTTTTTAAAGACCCATGTTAAATTTTTAGGTGTCTTTACAACGAGCAGATATAAATGTAATTTTACGTGCAAAGAATATAACAGTTAAGGATGGTTATTCGGACGGAAGACCTCTCGTTGCTCGCAACGAGTATCTAGTTATTATTATTCTTACAGATTGTTGCACGCGAGTTCTCGGAAATGACTTGACCGATTTTCATGAAACTTTCAGATCTGATAGGTATTGATGTGAACCTATTTTGAATTTCTTCGTTGATGCCGTCACTTCCTGTCCTGAAAAATGAAGGAGTTTCTGATTTTCAAAGGTTCGGATTGTCCTGGAAACTCCTCCTAAACGACTTGAGATATTGAGTCAAAATTTTCCTTGCAGTTAGAGAGACGTTTGTAGATATGCAAATGGGTGTCCAAATCTTTTTAGCACAAAAGGCGCCAAAGCTCGGTAGCCCCCCCCCCCCCCAAAAAAAAAAAAAGACTCGGAAACATCTCACAAAATTTGACACATTTTCTTTTATATCTTTATACCTGTAAATATTTTGTTAAAATATATTTTTAAAAAAGTTATGCAAAGCGATAAGACTTTTCAAATTATATCAAGAAAAAGGGGCTTACCACTTGAATTAGGGGCTCAGATGGGGCAAAAAGTCTTTCAAGTATAATTTTTTAAATATCAGTATTTTGTTTTCAATAAAATGGGTTACATTTAGCGTGTACGATATTTGGCTGAAATTAATTTTTGAATAAATTAGCGTAGATTTGATTTAGCGCGTTTCTTTACATTCTTATTTCTGTGTATATGTGCAAGATCTTTAGCTTTGTACTTAATTTAGCGGTTGCTGCCAAAGCCGCTCAAAAGAATACACAGCCACATCTAATACGTTTACAGTACCTTAACCCAAACCAAAAACACCTCACACACACCACTGACACCACCACCATCTCACAGATATCAATGATACCCTACCAATGTTCCTTCTCGCATCACAGAGACAACAGAGACTACACTTATACCACCACTAATATATCTACACCACACTGACTTATACTCCCACCAATATCACTACCCACACAACACAGACATATACTCCCACCAATATCACTACCCACACCACACAGACTTATACTCCCACCAGTATCACTACCCACACCACACAGACTTATACTCCCACCAATATCACTACCCACACCACACACACTTATACTCCCACCAATATCACTACCCACACCACACATACCTATACTACCACCAATATCACTACCCATACCAAACAGACATATACTACCACCAATATTACTACCCACAACACACAGACTTATACTCCCACCAATATCACTACCCACACCACACAGACCTATACTACCACCAATATCACTACCCACACCAAACAGACATATACTACCACCAATATTACTACCCACAACACACAGACTTATACTCCAACCAATATCACTACCCACACCACACAGACTTATAATCCCATCATTATCACTACCCACACCAAACAGACGTATACTCCCACCAATATTACTACCCACAACACACAGACTTATACTCCCACCAATATCACTACCCACACCACACAGACCTATACTACCACCAATATCATTACCACACCACACAGACTTATACTCCCACCAATATCACTACCCACACCACACAGACTTATACTCCCATCATTATCACTACCCACACCAAACAGACGTATACTCCCACCAATATTACTACCCACAACACACAGACTTATACTCCCACCAATACCACTAACCACACCACACAGACTCACCAATATTACTACCCACAACACACAGACTTATACTCCCACCAATACCACTAACCACACCACACAGACTTACACTCCCACCAATATCACTACCCACACCACACAGACTTATACTCCCACCAATATCACTACCCAAACAACACAGACATATACTACCACCAATATTACTACCCACACAACACAGACATATACTCCCACCAATATCACTACCCACACAACACAGACATATACTCCCGCCAATATCACTACCCACAACACACAGACTTATACTCCCACCAATATCACTACACACACCACACAGACCTATACTCCCGCCAATATCACTACCCACAACACACAGACTTATACTCCCACCAATATCACTACCCCCACCACACAGACATATACTACCACCAATATCACTACCCACACAACACAGATATATACTCCCACCAATATTACTACCCACAACACACAGACTTATATTCCCACCAATATTACTACCCACACCACACAGACTTATACTCCCACCAGTATTAAACGCATTCCAAAATCAAAACAGAAAATCTTTTTTTTTTTCTGTTTTAGGCATTTTGCCCTTAGGTATTGACAAAATCTAACAAAAACACAGTTTTATAAGATATTTATTGATAAGATTGTGAAAAATCATTTTTCTAATGGAAGCACGATCTAGTGTCACAAATAAATTGAAATGTAAATATTTGGAGGAAATATTGACAATTTAGCAAGACTTTACGGGGTAAATTTCCCCCCAAAGAAAATCACTGATTCACATCTTAAAGATAGCAAAAACCTACAGGGTAAACTTCCTCTCAAAAATGACATTGATACAGTTAACATACAGTTATTCAAAGCAAAAGGAACCATTTTTTAGATAGCAAGACTTAACAGGGTAAATTTCCCCCCAAAGAAGGTATCAATGATGCAGTATTCACTACTCTTATAAAAAGGAACATACAATTTGAAAATCGCAGAACTCTACAGGGTAAATTTCCTCTCAAAAATGACATTGATGCAGTTTATATACAGTGTTTGAAAGCAAAAGCAACCATTTTGATGATAGCAAGACTTTACGGGGTAAATTCCCCCCCCCCCCCCCCCCCAAAGAAAATCAATAAAACAGTATTTATGATTCGCTAACATCTTTAAGATGGCAACAATCTACAGAGAACTTTTTCTCTCAAGAATTATAATGATACATTTTATACACAGTATTTCAAAGTAAAAACACCAATCTTGTAGATAGCAAGATTTTACGGGGTAAATTTCCCCCCAAAGAATATCACTGATACAGTATTCTCTCTCTTATAAAAGCGAACATTACACTTTGAAAATCGCAGAACTCTACAGGGTTAACTTCCTCTCAAAAATGACATTGATTCAGTTTATATACAGTGTTTGAAAGCAAAGGCAACCGTCTTGATGATAACAAGACTTTACGGGGTAAATTTGCCCCCAAAGAAAATCAATAATACAGTATTTCTGATTCGCAAACATAAAATGACATTGATGCAGTTTATACACGGTATTTGAAAGCAAAAGTATCCATCGTTTACATAGCAAGACTTTACGGGGTAAATTTCCCCCAAAAGAATATCACTGATACAGAGTTTATGCTTCACAATATCTTGGCGGTAACAAAAATCCACAGGGTAAATTTCCTCTCAAAAAATATTATTGATACAGTTTATCTTATACGTAGAAAACGCGAACACAACACTTCGAAAATCGCTGAACTCTACAGGGTAAATTTTCTCTCAAAGATGATATTGATACAGTTTATACACAGTAATTAAAAGCAAAAACAACCATCTTTTAGATAGCGAGACATTATGGGGTAAATTTCCCCCCAAAGAAAATAACTGATATAGATTTTTGATTCACAACATCTTAAAGATAGCAAAAATCTACAGGGTAAACTGCCTCTCAAAAATTACATCGATACAGTTTCCACGTATTAATTGTAAGCAAAAACACCAATCTTTTAGAAAGTAAGACTTTACGGGGTAAATTTCCCCCCAAAGAAGATATCACTAATACAGTATTCAATACTCTTATAAAAGCGAATATTACAATTTGAAAATCGCAGAACTCTACAGGGTAAATTTCCTCTCAAAAATAACATTGATACCGTTTATATACAGTGTTTCAAACCAAAAACACCCATCTTGTAGATAGCAAGACTTTACGGGGTAAATTTCCCCCCAAAGGATATGACTGATACAAAATTTAAGCTTCGCAATATATTGGAGGTAGTAAAAATCTACGGGGTAAATTTCCTCTCAAAAATATTACTGATACAGTTTACATCCTACTTAGCAAGACTTTACGGAGTAACCCCCACCCCCCAACAAAGAATATCACTGATACAGTTTATATAATTCACAAAATGAAACAAATATTACTTTTTGAAAAAAAGCAGAACTTTTCAAGGTAAATCTCCTCTCATAAAATAAACTAATCCTGTATATATTGTTTACAGAAAAAAACATACATTACATCTTGATAACAAAAAAAAAATCGGGCTGAATTTCATGTCACAGAATATGAATAATATATTATTTTTATATTACAGATGATACTTTTATCTAAATATCATGCAAGCTGGAAAAGCTAATTATTAAAGTTAACATAATATTACGCCTTTTAAACATAGAAAAACATACAAAACATAAAAAAAAACTCTGGCATCTTTCTTTCTCTGTCAAAAGAATACGATTTCTTTGCTTAAACAGCGTCCTCCTCTACTATCTTTGACCGAAGTTCCACTACTATGCTTTTCTCATGGCTGATACAATAGACAGATTGTTAAGTGCATTTTCCAAAGGAAATCTGGCAACCATATTCTGAACCAATCCATAGTCGCCCTATGGATGAAAATTTTAAGTCTCAAAAACTTCAATTTCCCAAAGCCTTAGGCATTTATATATGATTTCTTGACAGATATAATTGGTTAAATATTGCGCACTAGAGTAGATCTAGAGTAGCAGGTGCCTGCTCCGAATTTTTGTATATATTGTATGGAAACTGCATTCATCTAAAGATCCCCCCCACAACACACACTCATATACACACATACATTTATAAATGTTTCTTTTGAGAATGATGCTCATTCGTGATATGGATCTAAATCGTAAGATAATCAAAAAAGTTAAATGCACTTACAGTACCGACCAGACACAACCTAACAGAAAGCGGACCCAGAGCGCACCCCGGGTTCGCTCTCTGGGTTCGCTTCGGGTTCGCTTGGGGTCCGCTAGTGCTGACCCCGAGCGAACCCGGAGCGCACCCGTAGCGAACCCGCAGCGAACCCAGAGCGAACGCTGAAAGCGAACCCCAAATTCAGTAGCGGTCCCAGAAAGCGAACGCGCGTTCGGTGTTGCGTAACAGAGCTGTCAATCAGGATTAGCGATTAACTCATCAGCGCGTCGACCAATCAACATGCCGAACAGGTCTGTCAATCAGGATAAGTGATAAAATGCGTTGACCATCAGCGCATCGACCAGTCAACATGCCAGTTTGTAATCTAAACATTGTACAAGCAAAGCGTGTGAATGTACAATGTAAAAACATTATTAATATGATTTTTAAACATGATTTTACATTTATATATTTTAATTCTCCAGACAACATGCAATATTTACACATCTATTTTCATTATTTTTTATTTTTAAAATCTATTGATACATTATATATTTTTATTATCCAGGTAGCATGTTACATGTATAGTTACATATTTATTTTCTTTATATTTTTAAAATCCATTAATTTCAAATATTCATTGCGTAAATTTATCAGACAATAAGTACTTTAATTTATAATAGAAAAAAGAAGATAATAATGGTTATAACAATTCTTACTAAAAAAAAAAGAATAAAAAAACTTGTCTTCGATAAATTATAGAATTTTATTATCTCAAGATACAGTATAAGAACATGTACGTGCTTTAATTTAATTATTTTTTATTTATTATTTCAATTTACATGCACGTTTCAATTTATCCAGATCAACATCGAAATTATCGATCTAAATAATTGATCATGAAAAAAAAATTAAAGATACATTGTACAGTATAAATGTGCATTATGTCAATACGTAATTTGGAGAAAAAAATCTCATTTTTTTTAACTACTATGATATATATTTTTTAATTAATCTTTTACCAAAATTTAATAAATAGCTTGATTTAAATACATGTATATAGGGAAAGTTTATTTTGTCAATTCTTTCTATCCTACATGTAGACCTTACATTCTATGTTTTTGAATTTTTGTAACTACTTGCAAGTCAATAAAAAAAACCGCAAAAATGCTTATCACTTTCCTTCGCGTCGATATATATAATTATACAGGTTTACATGTTCACGAACCTCTTACATGTACTACATGTAATTTTCGAAATACTTTATATGGATATAAAAAAATATATTAGGCGGGTACGTTTTGTACTTGTGCATGAAAAGTACACGCAATTCCAACATTAGTAAATTGAACTTGCAAAGATACCTTAATACGAAAACGTACATATATTTTTTCATTACATAGGTACCTGTATTTGAACTTTGTCATAATTATTTAATTTTAACACTTTAATAATTAAAGTTTCAAAGTGAAGCCAAGGTCATCACGTGTCGGTAATCATCAACCTGTTTCGAAGATATTGCGGGTGCTAAGAGCAATTGCGGTGGGTTTTTTAATTGACACTTTCTAGCTGGATGTATACTGTCTCCATGGTCACGGTATACCTGAGTATATACATGTACTCCCCCTACATTCGATGCACCTTAAGTTACATGTACCTGGTCTGGGCACGTTATCAATAAGAAATTCAATTATCTAATTTTTTTTTTTTTTTATTTTTGAATTTGGATACGTCACAGTTCTTTGGTACGTTGCATGAAGAGTACATTTTCATGTAATTTGCTGTCACCTGAATGCTGAAAGTCAGTAAAATAGCTTTACGAGAGAGAGAGAGAGAACACTGTATATTATTTGAAATTAAAATCGCTACAACCGGCCCATAGAAAACAATTCGAGTACGGAGAGGGGTGGGGGGATCATCGAAAAAAACAATAATAATAAAAAAAAAAACATCGGGCGTTATTATCCTAATTTCATCTAGTTAATCATGCGAGTTTACAGTTATTGAATTCTTGTTTTGTTTGTTTTCTTTCTTGTTTTTATTTATTTTTAAACATTTAGAATTTTGTTTGTTAACATGCCGCTTCAGTAGGGGGGGGGGGGGGGGGATCATGAACCAGTAAGGAACTGAAACTATTCAAATGATCATTTACATGTATTTGAAAACAACTTAAAGAAATAATATATTCTTATAAGTAGACCAGATATTAGTTTTTGTTTGATTGTTTGTTTTGGTTTTTTGATTGTTGTTGTTGTATTTT